TCCAAAGAGGGGGCGGGGACATCAAATGGACATGGGCGCTGCCTTTAACATAAGCCTCACTAGTTAGGATTCTGTCTAGTGTTGCTATACAGTAGGATGGAATAGAGCTCTGATGTTGTGGGCTCCGAACAATGGGAACTAAAAGCACTCCTTTAATTGAATGCGCTAAATAAAACATTGCCTGACAACGAAGTTTATAATTATTTCACTTCTCATGTCCTTATGATTAAAATGGCTTTTACAGCACTCAGTCTACTGGGGGAACAGAGCTCATTCAGTAACCCAACATCAACCCTTTTCAGCAAATTCAAAGAAGTCTTCATGACGTTGTTGCCCAATATATTCTATTTTTTGAAACGATGCAGACGATAATTAAGTGGATATTCATACCGGCAACGATGATTTGGCCTTTTATCTCTGTAAGTGTCCTTTTATACGTTCGTTGTTTTTTTACGTAGCGAAACAGATTTTCAGACTGCCTTATTTACGTTCAAATTCAACTACCGTGAAGAGTACCAGAACACTTATTTGACGGAAGAATTTGAGAAAATTGACCTGGATATGGCATTGCGCGGTCGAACGAAAGCGTTGCCGCTGAACAAGGAGGAAAAGAAACTTGTAGGGCACTGTTCAACTACTCGTCCCTAGATGTCTATTTCCTGCTTCCTACCTGCTGAAGCTTTGTTTGTAGAGGTTATTCTGTGACCTGATCGATAATTCATACAAAACCAATTTTTGGCGTCGGCATCACTTGACGCGAACCATACAAATCAGTTTGCCGCCCCTTTTTTCCCCCAATGGAAATCTTCAAGTGGACGAAACCCTCGATTCTCCCTAAATAGAGGCTAACACACGTGGGCTTAGGTGCTTTCGCTTGGTGTGACTGGACATTCGACAATTCCACATCCCTTTCTGGGGCTGTGCTTCTTCTCCTAATGAGCTAACGAACCTTTGTTCAGTACATCCCAAGAACCTCATGGAAGATGACATCGCGTGAGAAAGCCTACTACAGACTTAGAGTTGTTATCACGTTAATCCTCAGCGCAACGCCGTTCTGTTTCATTTGCATGGATGAAGCCGTCTATTCGGTGGGATATAGTCTGATGAGTTACGTGATACTTAATCAAAGAGGAACAACATTATTCTTGGCGTTCCAAAAATTAGTGACTGCCAGACTACTTATGCCGCAGGCGGATGTCAGAATAATGGCATGTGTAAATAGAAGGTCAGGGACGGGTCGTGGTTCATTTTTGAGAGCCTCGGTTACGTTTTCGAAACCTGGCCTTCTGAGATGTGTGTCAGTCCTGGGATCAGATTCCACTTGTCAAAATTCATTGCTTAAGCATTTAGCATTTTAAAATACTGTCTTCCGCAATCAAATCAACGGTCCCTGTCAGTGTGACGTGGATTTTGGCGTGGCCAGATGAGGCGAGCAATGATTGGTGGAAAATGATCTGGCGCCGCGCCAAAATGCGCATCACGAAGACACACTACATCGACTGGGTTGTGGAGGGCTACAGTTGTTCTAACATCCGGTGAACTATCTCTAGGAAAAAGAAGGAACAGTTTCTGTTGAGGTTTTGCTTGGTTTCCGAAGACGAACGTCTACCCACCATTTCCGTACTTATTAGGCGTCAAGAGTTGAAGCAGTGACTTTCGGATTAGGATCTGACGTGTGACCAAGTCAGATATGACATATCTTTTCTGCATATTTTACCCTAAACTTCCAGATCTTATCGAACGTGTATTACTTCACCGGTTTGGTACACGTGGACTATCCATCACATTATGAAATGAAGGTAATTAATACCTTGGTAAGGCTATCAAAAGTACACCCTTCTGTCTGAGCACTTTGCCTGCTCAGACGGAAGGGTGTACTTCTGACAGCTGAGTAATGCATGGCTATTGGGCGCTTACACCATTGAAATTTGCAAATTGGCGACTTTAGGAATTCTCTAGGTATTAGGGCAGTCAAACTCGAATAGTAGTGGACATTGTCATCTACTAGCTCAGTCCCCGTGTAGATTTATTAAAGTCATTGCAGGTATCGGGTAAAGGGGAGAGCGCGAAAATGATGAGAAGCATCCAGGAAGTGTTCTCGCCATTGACGTCAGACATTCGTGAAAGAGATGACAGGTAGTCTGTTTTATAGTTGTTTCACTACGAGAAAGGTAATATGCCTATATTTGAATACGGAACCGTAAGAACCTCTCCAAGCAGAAGGAATAGGCCTGCTTGTCTTGGAGCTGCTTCTTCCCGGATTGGGTCACATATCTTACCCTAGGACATCAGTTCGTTTCTTTGCATCTTGCACAAAAAACAACTCACTCATGTCAAGCAACACTTGCCATCTAACATTTGAAAAAAAAAAGAAAACGAAGAATTAGCATAGTAACTAAGCTCGTAAGAGTTCATTGCCCTGAAGATCTCTTTGTATAAGAATGGTATCACTGCGATTTGGTCGAGCTATTGCTCCAAAATGCCCGACCTTCCAAGAACAGCACCTCCAATTTAGTAGGTTATGTAGGAGTATAC